TTCGTACCACTGATGTCAGACTCATTAGCCTACTGTTTTCTGGTTTGTCTTTATCACTGTTCTTGAATAATGGTGCCAAATTAGCTGTCCCACAGTGGTCTTGCACCCCTGCTGAGGCCAGAGAGGATTTGAAAGTAAATGTCTGGGCACCTTGCAATCTCCTCCCTTGCTTCCCTCAGTAATCTGGTTGTATCTCCTGTGGGCCTGGGTACTAATCCAATTTTAAGCCTGCTAAGACCTCCTACCTCTTTATTGTATTTTATTCAAGGGTATCAGAGTCTTTTTCAATTTTTATATCTACATTGTCCTCTTTATAATGAGCACAGATGTGAAGTACTCGTTTAAAATCTGTGCCTTCTGGCTCCCCACACAGTTTGCCATTTAGCTCGCTAAGTTTCTGTCCTTCTATCTCTCTTGAACTCTTTGGGGGCCAATAGTACACTTGCAAAAATATGATTATCTCCTTTTTGATTTTAAATTCAGCCCATATGACATCAATTGAGGAGTCTTCAAAGGGATCATTCCTCCTTCTTGCAGTAATTGGTTTCGACATCAATATTCTTCGTCTCCTATTTCACACCCTACTCTGTCTCACCTGAAGATTTTATACGCTAGAATATTGAGCTGCCAGTGCTGACCCTTCCTCAACCATGTCTTCATGTCATATCCCCATGTGTCAGTCAGCAACTTCAACTTATCTGCCTTTCTTGCAAGACTCTTTGCATTAAAATAAACCCAATACAACCTTGCCAAGCTCCCTTGTGTCTTAACTTGACTATATAAGCTGTATGCTGCAGATTGTGTTGTTTTTCCTTCTACTTGTCTCTGCATTACCGTCTCTGTTTTGTACCTCCTGTACGTATCCCATCTCCCTGCCAAGTTACTTTAATACCCCGCCCCCCCCCAAATCAGATGGAGTCCTTCAGATTCGTACAGTTCCGACCTTTGAAAGAAACAGATCCAGTGATTCAGGAATATAAAGCCCTCCCTCTTCAGCCACACGTTAATCTGTGATATCCGTCTGTTCTTGTATTCCCTGCTGTGTCACTGGGAGTAATCCAGAGATTAAAATCCTTGAGGTCCTGCTTTTTCAGTCTGATACTTAGCTCCCTAAAATCTTGTTGTAGCACCTTTTCCCACTTTTTCCTTGAGTTGTCAACACCAATATATGTGGATTAGATAGGACTAAACTTTAGATTCTGGAATAGTTCCTGTGGATTTGAAGTTAGCAAATATTGCCCTATTATTTAAAAAGGGTGTAAGGGAGAAAGCTTGGATCTAAATATCTGTTAGCCTTACATCAGTACTAGAGAAGATGATAAAATCTGTTGTAATGGGTATGATTATTTGACATTTGAATCATTGTGATCTGTTTGAGCATTATCAGCATAGATTTGCGAATGGGAAATTGTGTTTGACAAACTTGCTAGATTTTTGAGATGCTACCAACAAAATTGATGAAGGAGAGCTGTTGGACATAGTACACTTAGATTTTCAGAAGGCTTCTGATAAGGCCCCCAGGGGAAACTGCTTAGAAAATTAAAGGTCATAGGATAGGAGGTATTTTACTGGCATGGATTAATGGTTGACCCATTTCTTCCTACTCTCTGCTAGCCAATCTCATGTTGGCAGGCTGTGACTAATTCAGGTATAGCAAGCATCAATACTTGGGCCATTCCTGTTCACAATGTATACCAGTAACTTGGAGATGGACCAAATGTAATATTGCCAAACTTTCAGGAATGTGTGTAGTAAGGAAAATGTAAAAGCGACTTCAGGAGGATTTAGAAATGTTTACTGATTGGACAAGAACATGGCACATGGAATATAAAGTGAGTATTTCTTAAATGTGAGGTTGGAAAGTGTAGATGTTCAAAGAAATTTTGGTATCCTTTTTGATAAGTTTTGAAGCTAACATGAAGGTATGGTAAGTTATTAGGAAGGTTAGTGCCTTTATTGAAGATGGTTTAAGTACAGGAGTAGTAAGGTCTTGCTTCAACTATATAGGAGCTTGGACAGACTGCACCTGGAGGATAGTGCGCAATTCTGGTCTCCTTATCTCAGGGAAAAAAAATGCCAAAAAGGATAGAGGGACTGTCTTATGGAGAGATTGGGCAAACTGGACCTGCATTCTGCATCCCCTTCCCTTCCCCCATTTCTGAAGAAGGGTCCAGACCCGAAACGTCAGCTTTCCTGCTCCTCTGATGCTGCTTGGCCTGCTGTGTTCATCCAGCTCTACACCTTGTTATCTCAGATTCTCCAGCGTTGGCAGTTCCTACTATCTCTGCATTCTGTACAGTTTTGAAGTATGAGAGGTGGAAGTTTGAGTTATAAGGAGAGGCCGGATAGGCTGGGACTTCTTTGACTGGAGTGTAGGAGGTTGAGGGGTGACCTTATCAAGGTTTATGAAATAATGAGGGGCATAGATAAGGTGAATAGCAAAAGTCTTTTTCCTCAGGTGGGCGAATTCAAAGTTAAGGGGCATATTTTTTAAGGTGAGAGGAGAAAGATTTTGAGAGGAGAAAGATTTAGAAAGGACCTGAGGGGCTACCTTTTGACACAAAGGCTGGTTCATATGTGGAATGAACTGCCAGAGGAAGTGGTAGATGCAGGTGCAGGTACATGAATAGGAAAGATTGCAAGGGATATGGCTCAAATGCAGGCAAGTGGGCTTAGTTTAGATTGGGAAACTTGGTCATCGTAGATGAGTTGGACCAGAAGGTATGTTTCCGTGCTGGCTGTATGACTCTATCCCATTAAATCATTGAATTGGACAGAGTCAGGGATGGATTTACAAAAGGGAAATCATGCTTGACAAATCTACTGTATTCTTTGAGGATGTAACTAGTAGAGTTGATCAGGGAGAGCCAGGGGATATGGTTTATTTGGACTTTCAGAAGGCTTTTAACAAAGTCCCACGTAAGAAATTAATGTGTAAAATTCAAGTGGATGGGATTGTATTAAAATGGATAGAAAATTGGTTAGCAAACAGTAAGAATAAATGGATCTTTTTCTGAATGGCAGGCACTGCCTTGTGGGGTGCTGCAGGGATCGGCAGTAACACCTGAGCTATTCACAACGTATGTTAATGATTTAGATGAGGAAACTATATGTAATATCTCACGTTTGCAAATGACTGAAAGCTGGGTGAAGTGTGAGCTGTGAGGAGGATGCAGAGATATTGCAATGTGATTTGGACAGGCTGAGTGAGTGCACGGATGTGTGGCAGATACAGTATAATGTGGGTAAATGTGAGATTATTCACTTTGCTAGCAAAAATAGGAACGCAGATGATTATTTGAATGGTTATAAATTGAATGAGGGGAATGTTCGATGAGACACGGGTTTCCTTGTGCTCCACTTGTTGAAAGCGCGGAGGTGAAGCAGGCAGTAAAGAAGACAAACTGTATGTTGGCCTTCATAGTGAGAGGATTCAAGTACAGGATCAAGAATGTCTTGCTGCACTTATACTGGGCATTGGTGAGGCCACACTTGGAGTATTGTGTGCTGTTTTGGTTTCCTTATCTGAGCAAGGATGTCCTTACTCTAGAGAGAGTGCAACAAAGGTTTACCAAATTGATTCCTGGGATAGTAAGACTGACGTATGTGGAGAGATTCATAGGATCATAGAACCCCCTACAGTGCAGAAGCTGGCCATTTGGCTTGTAATCCAACATTTCCCACTGTCAATTGAGCTAACCCCCACATCTTTGGACTGTGGGGGGTACATGGGGTACCTGGAGGAAACCTATGCAAACTCCACATAGAGAGACACCCGAGGGTGAAATCGAATCCGGGTTCCTGGAGCTGTGAGGCAGCAGTGCTAATCACTGAGCCACCGTGCTGCCCTGATTGAGTTGGTTAGGATTGTATTCACTGGAGTTTAGAAGAATGAGGTGGGATCTCAAAGAAACCTATAAAATTCTAAGAGGACAAAAGAAGCTGGATGCAGGAAGGATGTTCCCGATGGTGGGGGGAGTCCAGAATCAGAGGTCATAGTTTAAGGACAGGGGGTGAACTTTTTAGAAGTGAGATGAGGACAATTGTCTTCACCCAGAGAGCGTTGAGGCTGTGGAATACACTATGACAGAAAGTTGTTAAAGCTAAAACATTGTGTTTCAAAAATGAGGTAGAAATAACTCTTGCGGCTAAAGGGATCAAAGGATATAGGGGAAGGGTGGGATTAGGGAATTGAACTTGATGATTAGCCATGATTGTGTTGAATGGCAGTGGAGTTGAATGCCTTACTTCTGCACCTATCTTCGATTACAAAACACTTGAAGGGATAGACAGAGCAGATGCAGATAAGCTGTTTACCCTCATCGGGAAGTCTATAATCAGGGGTCATATCTGAAAAATAAACAGAGTGCTATTTTGATCTGAAATGAGAAGAAAAGTTTTTTTATTTGGAGGGTTGTGAACCTTTGGAATTCTCTGTCTTAGAGGGCTGTGGAGGCTCAGTCTTTGAGTATGCTTAAGTTTGATAGATTACTATTTACCAATGGCATACAAGGTTAATGGCTAAAAGGCACTGAAGTGTTTCCATCAGTCTGACCAATGACATAGATTCAACAGGCTGAATGACCTACTCCTATGACTGTTCACCCTTCCCCTTGAGAATGCCCAGCAGTCTTTCAGTGACACTCCTGACCCAGGGAAGTAACATACCATCCTGGAGTCATGTATATGTCTGCAAAATCACCAGTCTGTATCCCTTGGTAATCGAATCTCCTACAACTGTTGCTCTTCCTCTCCCCTTATGCAGCTGGGCCCTGTTTGCACTCCCCTGCGGAATCATTACACCTTCCACAGATACTGCCTAGCCTGCTAAATACTTCCAGCTGGTTTTCTTTTTAAGCCATGTTTGAACTGTTCACTAACTTTGAAGAGTACAGTCTGTGAGCAATAACTGGTCTGTCCTCTTTGGATTACATTATCAACACGCCAAATGATTATGCTCAATTTCTTCCACAAATAATAGTATCTGTTCTGTTGTTCAGGTGGGACTATTGCGGCAGCAGCTTCAGGACAATGAAAAGGTTCAACGTGATATGGTGGTGCAATATGAAACACAACTGAACATATTTCGGGAAGAGGTAGTGTCAAGATATCGTACACAATTCACTTTTAAAAGAAAATCTATCAAGTATATGTTCATGTGTTTTTCAGCCAATTACCCCATCTCCTGTTCTCCTCCCTCCCTCTGTCAGAGGACCTGTGATTGTTGCAGGGTTCCTGATCCATAGATGCCTCACTCACAGAGCTGACCATCCTAACTATGTATGTTTAAACACTCACTGCTGGGGAATGTGAAAATCAAAATAAATCCTGCTCTCTCATGATGCCCACAACAAGTGTATGTGGCCATGCTGGTTTGGCTCTCAGCACCAGGAGATAGCTGATTATTTTCTCTCTTCACCTCTCCCCAAATCTTGCTAAACTATTATTGCCATCTCTATCCAAAAACTAAAAACTTCAGTTACAGCTTGGGGCATAAGTGACTGTACTGAGTTTTTTGGAACTGTTGTCCTAAGATGGAACTCAATATTACAGTATCGTGCATTGGCTTAGTCTGAAAATTCCCCTGACTCAGTGTATTTGGTGCTGTGTGCAACAAGGGAATCCTGAAAGTGGTTGACCTGGCTCACCGCTCATTGCAGATGGCATAGTGACACACAGGCTGCAAATTGGGCAGCGTGGCAGAGAATGTATTTACTGCAATAAATCCATTTTTAATTTCCATTCCAACTTTTATACTTGCAGATTGGGAAACTGAAGAAAAGCTACGAGAAGTTGCAGAGACGACAGTTGAAAGACAGGAGGGAGCATGTCAAGGAGAGATCAGAGAAGGAGGGCATATCTGAACTTAACAGGTTGAGCAAGAAGGTCGAGGTAAACAATGCTGTGTGAAGTTCAGTTTGTTTGATTTGGTCATTTGGATTATTTTGGCATAAAGTCTCATCAGTGTTTTTTGCTGCCAGGATTTATTACGTAGACAATAATTCTAACTTCTTATGTCTCTGCCTGATTTTTCAATTGCAAGACTGAAATAGTGTGCAAGCATAGACCATTGTAAGTGGACACTGATGTGTTTTATGGCAGCTTTGTAAATACCAGGAATTCCGTACAATTTTAAAACCATTTGACCAATTGTTCCAAGCCAGGATTAATGCTGCACACAAGTTCTTTCCACCCTAATTTATCTAGTCTTATCAGCATATTCTCCTCTTCCCATCTCCCTCACATGTTTATCTTGCTTCCCTTCAAGTGTAGCTACATGATTCACGTCAACTACTCTGTGGTGGCAAGTTCCTTATTTTCACTACTCTCAACAATAAATAAATTTCTCCTGAATTCCTTAATGGCTTTTTGGTGATTATTTAATAACTGATTTTAGATTCCCTCACAATCGTAAATGCCTCTTCTACATGATCTGTTTGAATGGTGGAGCATGTTGAATGGGCCAATGGCCTCCTGCTCCTACTAGCTATGTTCCTAATTACATGTAACAACCTTGCAAAAAGTGTTCTTTTTTTGCTTCTGGGCAGTCTGTTGGCTGAACAATACTTTATATGATGTGGAGGTGCCGGTGTTGGACTGGGGTGGACAAGGTCAGAAATCACACAACGCCAGGTTATAGTTCAACAACTTTATTTGAAAACACAAGTTTTCGGAGCCTCACTCGTTCTTCAGGTGTTAGTGAGAGAGGTAGTATCAGACACAGGATCTTTAAGTAAAAGATCAAAGATTCACATCATTGATGAGGATGTAGTAAACAAACCTAAGATGCTGTTAAATCTTTAATCAGTTAGAATATTTTAATTGATTAATATGTATATGTAAATCCCCAAATTCCTTTCAAGTCACA